GCAGCTGCTAGCATAGCGCAAAATCACCAGACTTCTAGGGAATCTATGGAGACTACCATAGTGTACATAAATTACAGAGGCTACGGTGTCTATGGACGCTATATAGCCTCTGTAGCATTTTCCAACTTTCCTGATGCATGCTCTTCTTGCGTGAGGCGACCGCAACCAATCAGGACGCTGTCGACCTCCATGGAGGGAGGGGGGGGTTCTTCATGGCCGCCTGGTGTAATGGCAACGTGTTTGACTTCGATCATCTTCCGTCCAATATTATTGCTGGCACCAATATCAAAAGATTACAGGTTCGGATCCTTGTGGTGGTCGTCACTTTATCCTCAAGCTGAAAGTAAAGGCAGGACAACGACCGATAAAGGGAAACCGTTCCGAGGTGAGCTATACTTATATCTGAATCTCTATTTTTCTCTTTCAATACTATTTCGTATTTTTACTTTTGATTCTCGTGGGACTCGACGCCTCTCTGGTCATTAGGAAATGCAAAATATCCCAAGGCTGCGATTCTCGGTAAATATGGTCGAACTTGCCGTTTATCGACTCTGCAGATGATGAAAGAATACATAAAGGAGAGTAAATGATATTCTGAGAGATAGATTCAAAGATGAGATCGCGGAGCTGCATATTTATATTGTATTTCGTTAGTCATTCTCAAAGGTGAGTCCAAAAATGAAGTATATTCAACAGTGGTAGTACGAAGAAGAGGAAAAGAACAAGAAATAATTTGTTTATTTGTCTATTTGTTTCGGAGAAAGAAAGAGATGCTTGTTTGGGTTATGTTTGGTTTGCATGGAAGGTAAGAAAAAAAGAAAAGGAATGAAGGGCCATAGAAGGGTCTAGGGCAGAATGCAAGCGTCAATGGTATTCCTCAGGTATCGGCCACCTCCGGAATAGCCTCAAACACGAGTTTCTAAATGGAAAAAGGGATCGTTTGAGAACTTTGAATTATCCAAGAACGGAAAAGTAAACCAGCACTTACCACCGGAATTAACTGCTCTACCGCCCCATTGACTGACCCTTTGGGAAGGCTTCCGGCGGCGGAGAAAACAAGGAACTTGCTTGTGACACCAACATATGGTTGGAGACGGTAGACATAGTTGTTATCGTCTGTTGCGCACAAATAAAATTTGCGTTAGCAATGGACGTGCCAAGGGCATACTAGAAGCACACCATTGTCATCAAGCCAGAGCACGTCAACGCCTTGTCCAACATTGATGTTCCAAGCCTGAGCGCGGGCTTCCGTGGGGGTGAAGCTAGTAGCTGAAACAGTGGTGTTACCATTGTCCAAGGTGTTGACCAAGGTAACAGGGAAACAGCTGGTCGCCGAAAACAGAAAAGAAGGCAAAAAATACAATTTAGACGGCGGGTCAAGTAAAAAGGTAGTATATAACCCACTCTTTAGGTTGGTTATTGAGCTTGCCAGCAGTTGACCTAGCGACCGCAAGCCAGTGCGACGAATCATCCTTGTTGAGAGTGATGTTGTAACACCATAGGTTAGGGCCGTAACCCTAACATTGAGTGCAGCGCTGTAATCCTCCGTGGTGGTCAACACGGCATAGGTGTTTTTGGTGCCAGCGGAGTTGGAAACGTAGACTCCGGGGCTGTTATCAATTGTAAGGTCTGCTTTGAAGATCCTAAGACGACCGGTTCTATGGAGAGCAAAGAGAGACACAATTAGAATATTATTGTTCGAGGGTCACTGAACGCTTCGTAATAGTAAGACATACTGGTATTGTTTCTGAGAAGCGAAGGGGGCCATTGTTTGAGGGTGTGTATGAAGAGTACTGGTGTGCGAAGCGGCTGCTGGTGAACGGATGGTTTGACTCACTCGTTTACAACCCTCTTTTATACGTTAAATGACTGGCAGGATTTATTGTCATTACTCACCAAATTGCTCCCTTAGAACCGTTCACCTGCACACTCAAACGTGCACATCGAGGCATCTACAGAGTCCACCTCCAGAGTCGGGTAGGTTAGGAGCATTCCTCTGGAAGATCTTTTGCTTTTCAGTTGAGATCTCTTCGGTGTCATCCAAATGCCCTGATCCTGTCATACGTAGCCGGACCAATCTCTCGGCAGCCTGCTTTAGGATTATTGAGATATGTTAGTAAATTCGAGTTTCATAGAGGGATTCACCTATCGTTCTCGCGATGTACAGCAAGAACTGTCAGTGCGCTGCAACGATGTAGGAAACGTATAATCTATAATGTCTCGGGAAACGTTACCCGATAGCGGACAAAACTAACTTGGAAAACACCATCGGAATGTGACGACGAAGCTGGAGTCCAGCCGTCGCAAAGGTCACTTGACGGTATTATTAATAGACGAAGAAAAGTACCCTAAAACATTTCTCAATTGGGACACATGTATTGATCCTGCAATCAATAACTAATCTTCGTTTGACTGCATTCATTAGAATCTGATGTGAACGATGTCTTCTTGAAGAAGTCCTTGTGGCTTCGGCGGATGAGACGGAAATGAGAATCAGTCATAGTAGCAGGCTATCCCATGCGCCAATGTTTGTGGATGGCCCTTCTAGGTGTTTTGGGAGGGGTGTTTGCAGGTTCACGAGGACGTCGTCGTCTCTGCTATGTGAACCATCCAAGACGCGTTTAATTAGATATTTTTGTTTTGTATTAAAGCAATTGAAGTAAATCGTCTTCGTGACTCGTGACTTGGCTTGTGGCTCGCGTTCTCCCACGGTCCCTCTCCCTCTCCCGACACTGCCACCGACGCTTATTTAATCTTTTGGAGCCTACCCTTCTGCCACGTGTTATTGGATTATAATGATATCTGGACTCCGACGTTGACGCGTCGAAGCTGCCACCATATCTTATTTCTGTTCTGGCTATCTTGCTCACAGAAGAATTGTCGTCGACCAGGAGGAAGTGTCAAGAATTGGTGATCTCGGATAAAGCCGAGTTGAAGAACTATATAGCCGCGATGTTTATTTTGTAGTTCCCTACGTGTTTACCTAGACCTAACCGCTACCTGGTCGAATATTCACGTATTCTATCATCGAACTGAGGCTACTTTATATCCCTGAAGATCATCATTTTGCGACAGGAAGGGGGCAAACTCTACGGCTTCTCTACGGCCCTTCCGGCTCGATATTGAATAATGAATGCCCCTGCCGTTGATCTTGCTTCGTCTTCTTTCGCTTATTTGACAGGTGAGTATTAAATCTGTCTTCCTGATTATGACATTTTGGGCAGTGATGAGAGAGCATTCATTATGATACGACGGCAGCCGCATTTGGGATACGAGCGCCTGATGAGTGTCAACTGAATTGCGCTTCTCACTCAGGTGCCATCACATTATCCCGGTGTCAAGTTTAGCGTTGGTCTGGAGGTGGCCTCCCAAGCCGAAGTTCGCTTAGCGGAGTGCTATTGTGCAGGATCTTCTGGGTGAAGAAATAACATGTGGAGAGAAAGACGATTTACTAAGGTATGACGTTCATGCACATGCACCTTTTCGTGCGTATCAATCGTTATTGCTTATCCATCCAACCTGCCTCACGGTCACGATCTCGATCGCAGCTGATGTCAACAAAGTAACGCATTTTATCCATTCATTGAATCGAAACCTCCTAATTCAGAACGGCCTTCTGTGAAAGGAACCTTGTCACCTCTACAATGCTGGCAAAATACTCATCAGAACACTGCAACATAGGCTGCTAGCCAGCAGAAGGACTGTCGTCGACCATAAGAAAGCTAAGGTAAATAATAAAGATTGAATCTGACTTCCGAAATTCTGACCCTGACATTATTCGTCGGTGATGATATTTTGCCGGTTGACTTCCAGAAGCTCCCTGAGAGCATTCATGATGATGTTGCGGCCTGTTACGGCAGCTGCGTTTGGTATAAGATTGCCTGCCGAGTGTTCATTGAGTAGTGCTTCGCCCTCGGATGCCATCACATTCTCCCGATGTCAAGTCTGGAGGTGGTTTCCTAGGAGTGGAGCGTTTTCGTGCAGGATCTGCTGGGCCGAGGCATGTCATATTCGGAGAGAAAGGCTGCTTCTTAAGGTACTCGGTCATACGTATGCACTTTTTTTCTTGCAAATACAAAGGAACTGATTGCCTTTCATATGACACAGAGGGTCAGTGCTGCAGACTTGCGAACTCTCCGTCAAGCCTCATAATCCCACTACGCGTAAGGAGGCATTCAGCCTCGTTTTCCTTGGAGATCAGAAACCTTGAAACCTCTATAATGCCGGCAAAATAACCTTCGGAACACTTCTCCGCAGGTACAACCTCCTTATTGTATTGAGTAGAGAGGCAATCGAAAGCAATAAGATATCACGGCTGCGTCGGAAGTAAACCCTCACCGTTGAACACCTTGGCGAAGCAGAGTTGCCAAACCTAATATTACCGTCAAGTGACCTTTGCGACGGGTGGGCTCCAGCTTCGTTCACAATCCGAAGGTGGAGATATTTGGTCCTAGTTAGTTACATTGTCGGCTATCGGGTAACGATCCCGAGGCATTACAGACTATATGCTTCGTTCATCGCTGCAGCGAGCAGCACTGGTACAGTTCTTACTGTACGAGTGGTGAGTGCCTCTATGAAACTCGAACATCTCAATGATGCTAAAGCTGGCGGCCGAGAAATTGATTCCGGCTGCGTATGACAGGTTCAGGGCATTTTAATAACACCGAAGACACGTCAATTAAGAAGGAAAAGATCTTCCAGAGGAATGCTCCTGACTTACGCGACTCTGGAGGTGGACTCCATAGATGCCTCGACGTGCACGTTTGAGTCTGCAGGTGAACCGTTCTGAGGTAAAAATTTGGTGAGTAATTCGAGTAAATTTTGCCAATCGTTTAACGTATAAAAGAGGGTTGTAAAGGAGTGAGTCAAACCATCCGTTCACCAGCAGCTCCTTTGCACACTAGAACACTCCATACACATTCTCCAATGGCCCCCTTCGCTTCTCAGAAACAATACCAGTATGTCTTACTATTACGAAGTGTTCAATGCCCCCCCGCACGATAATATTCTAATTGTTCTTCTTTGTGCTCTCCATAGAACTGGCCGTATTAGGGTCTTCAAAGCAGACCCGAAAATCGATAACAGCTCTGGAGTCTACGTCTCCAACGCCGCTGGCACCAAAACCACCTATGCCTTGTTGACCACCACGGAAGATTATAGTGCTGCACTCAATGTTAGGGTTACGGCCCTAACCGATGGTGTTGCCTTGTGGGCTGACAACATCACTCTCAACGCGGATGATTCGTCGCACTGGCTTGCGGTCGCTAGGTCAACCGCTGGCAAGCTCAATAACCAACCTAAGGAGTGGGTCATCTACTACA